TTGGGCAAGGAAAAGAAATAAAGGGTATTCAATTAGGAAAAGAGGAAGCCAAATTGTCTTTATTTGCAGATGACATGATTGTATATTTAGAAGACCCCATCGTCTCAGCCGAAAATCTCCTGAAACTGATAAGCAACTTCAGCAAAGTCTCAGGATACAAAATCAATGTGCAGAAATCACAAGCATTTCTATACACCAATAACAGACAGAGAGCCAAATCAGAAGTGAACTTCCACTCATGATTGCTACAAAGAGAACAAAATATCTAGGAAAACAACTAACAAAGGATGCAAAGGACATCTCCAAGGAGAACTACAAACCACTGCTCAATGAAATAAGAGAGGACACAAACAGAGAGGAAAACATTCCATGCTCATGGTTGGTAAGAATCAACATCTTGAAAATGGCCATACTGCCCAAAGTAATTTATAGATTCAACATTATCCCCATCAAGCAACCAATGACCTTCTTCACAGAACTGGAAAAAACCACTTCAAACTTCATATGGAACTAAAAGAGAGCCTGCATAGCCAAAACAATCCTAACCAAAAAGAACAAAGCTGGAGGCATCATGCTGTCTGACTTCAAACTATACTACAAGCCACAGTAATCAAAACAACATGGTACTGGTACCAAAACAGAGACATAGACCAATGGAACAGAACAGAGGCCTCAGAAGCAACACCACACATCGACAATCATCTGATCTTTGACAAACCTGAGAAAAACAAGCAATTTTTATTTTATTAAGAGGATTTTAATATTAATAAAATTTTATTTTATTAAAAGTATTTAAAAAGAAATTTTAATTTTATTAAAAGGAGTCCATGTTTAATAAACGGTGTTGGGAAAACTGGCTAGCAATGTGCAATGTGCAGAAAGCAGAAACTGGACCCCTTCCTGACACTTTACACTAAAATTAACTCCAGATGGATTAAAGATCTAAACATAAGACCTAACACCATAAAAACCCTAAAAGAAAACTTAGTCAAAACCATTCAGGACATAGGTGTAGGCAAGGACTTCATGACTAAAACACCAAAAGCAATGGCAACAAAAGCCAACATAGACAAATGGGATCTAATTAAACTCCAGAGCTCCTGTACAGCAAAAGAAACAATCATTAGAGCAAACCGACAACCAACGGAATGGGAAAAAATTTTTGCAATCTACCCATCTGACAAAGGGCTAATATCCAGAATTTACAAAGAACTAAAACAGATTTACAAGAAACAAACGAACTCATTCAAAAGTAGGCAAAGGATATGAACAGACACTTTTCAAAAGAAGACATATATGAAGCCAACAAACATATGAAAAAATGCTCATCATCACTGGTCATTAGAGAAATGCAAATCAAAACCACATTGAGATACCATCTCACAACAGTTAGAATGGCGGTCATTAAAAAATCTGGAGACAACAGATGCTGGAGAGGATGTGGAGAAATAGGAATGCATTTACACTGTTGGTGGGAGTGTAAATTAGTTCAACCATTGTGGAAGACAGTGTGGTGTTTCCTCAAGGACCTAGAAACAGAAACACCATTTGACCTAGCAGTCCCATTACTGAGTATATACCCAAAGAATTATAAACTGTTCTATTATAAAGACACATGCACATGTATGTTCATTGCAGCACTGTTGTACCTATGCAACAATCCTGCATGATCTGCACATGTACCCCAGAATCTAAAGTACAATTAAAAAAAAAAAAAAGAACAACCATTTCCTTTGCAGGAACATGGATGCAGGTGGAGGCCACTGCCCTTGGCAAACTAACTCAGGAAAGGAAACCAAATAACCACGTTACCAGAAGTGGGAGTTAAATGATAAGAACACATGGAAACAAACAGGGAAACCACAGACACTTGAGAGTGGAGGGTGGGAGGAAGAAGACGATCAGATAAAAATAACTATTGGGTTGGTACTAGGCTTACCTGGTACCTGGGTGACAAAATAATCTGTACAACAAACCACTGTGACACAAGTTTACCTATATAACAAATCAGCACATGTACCCCTGAACCTAAAATAAAAGTGAAAAAAAAAGTGGGCAGAAGTTATGACCAATTTATCCACAGAAGAGGAAATTCAAATGGCCTTAAATATATGCAAAGATGCTCACCCTCACCCCTAATAGACAAAAAAGTAAAGCAACTTGGCAAATTAAAAATTTTAGCATGCACTGCTGGTTAAAGCATGGGGAAACAGTCCTCTTATACTGTTTAAAGAGGTGTGTAAGGCCGGGTGCGGTGGCTCACGTCTGTAATCCCAGCACTTTGGGAGGCCGAGGCAGGAGGATCACCTAAGGTCAGGAGTTCAAGACCTGCCTGGCCAAAACGATGAAACCCATCTCTACTACAAATACAAAAATTAGCCAGGCATGATAACACTGTAATCCCAGCTACTATGGAGACTGAAGCAGGAGAATCACTTGAACCCAGGAGGTGTAAGTTGCAGTGAGCCAATATCACGCCATTGCACTCCAAACTGGGTGTCACAGACAGACTCTGACTCAAAAAAAAAAAAAAAAAAAAAAAAAAAGTGTGTAAATTGGCACAAGCTCTCTGGAAGGCAATTTGGAAACATGTATCAAATCATACAAATAATATTCTCAGTAACCTTGAAATTCCTTTCCTAGGTATATAGCACATATGAATACATTTGAACCTGTAAATTTGAATATACAAAATTACGTATATTCAAGGATATTCAGTATATTATTGCTTACAGTCCAAAATAGTGGCAACGAAATATCCATTCATAGGGGAGTGATTAAATATATGAAACATATATAAAACATATATACGAAATGGTTTCACATATTATAAAATATATAAAGCCATTAAAAAGAATGTGGCAGCTCTATATGTTACAGAAGTGGATATATACATATTTATTTATAATAATTTGTGACTTTGTGTGTGTGCATTTCTGGAAGGATAAATGAGAAATTGATCCAAATGTTTTTTTTCTCCAGGGGAGGCAATGAGATAGGCATACAAGTGAAGAAACAATCCTTAATTTTCACTGTGCATCCTTTTGTACTTTTGAATTTTGAATTAAGCACACATATTATTTATTCAAAAATAAATACAAATGTATTTCAAGACACTGGGCTCGTGGACATCCCAGTGACAGAAGGTTCAATCACCTGAATCAGTATGAGAATGTATATATATATTAATCTCTCTGTTCTTAAAAATATACTGATATTCAGTGCATCTATTCATTAGCTGAAGTTTGAATATGCTGCTGCTTGTTCCTTCTACTCTTAAAGGCAGTCAATAAAATAGATATCTTTATCTAAAATAGACAAAGGGGTGTTGTGTATGTGTGTGTGTGGACTCCAAGTCTATTGTCCTATTTTAGATACATGTTTCAATTTAAAATAATCTAAAACAAGACATTCCAAGTCAAAAAAGTCTAAAACCAGAGTGTATTATGTACGTTATGTATGATGGGTTTGATTTCAAAGATGGGTACAAAACAAAAGGCTTTATCACATATTATACACCTGAAGCCTATGCTTATTTGTAGATTTTTTTCATCAGTTTAAATTTTCTTCAGAATATAGCCTCCCACTCCCCATCTCTGCTAATTGCCATACACTATAAAATAGTTGTCTGTTTTATAGATTGGAAACCCTGCACGGAGACAGAGCTTGCCAAGGACCCTTAGGAATATATGTAATATTGGAAGTTCACATTGTCTTCTAGCCTGAATGTGAATATGCACATAACTCATCTGGATATTTTGCTAAAACAAAGATTCTGATTCAGTAGGTCTGGAGGTAAGTGTGAGATTCTGTACTTCTAAAAAACTCCCAGGTAATGCCAGTGTTGCAGGTCCACAGACTACACTTCGAGTAGCAAGACCAAAGTCAAAGACCATACAGTTTCATGTTTAGGCTTGGTATAGCCTAATCTGAATGCTCTCTAATCGTGTGTCTTCCCAGTTAACAGATAAATGTAATGACTCAGTTGCAAGTGTTGGTAATACCACTTAATTAAGCAGAGAAAGTCTCTTTTTCTGTATCTTCTGATTTCTACGATGATGAATTTTTCTCAATAATTGGAGCCTCTTTTGCCACACTTTGCTACTTAATGATTAACAGCAGTTGTTCCACTTTTCTCAGTCAAGAGGAAATAATCAAAAGCATTGAGAAAGAGAAAACGAGAGAGAGAGAGAGAGAGAGAGAGGGAGAGAAAGAGAGAAAGAGAGAGAAGGAAGAAAGAGAGAGAAAAGAAGGTTGTGGGGATGGTCTTTTTAATTCCTCCACTTCACTATGAAGCAGCAGCGTCTTGGGTAAGTCTGCATGTTCTCCAGACTCAAACCCTCCCTTTAGTGAGAAGTTCTGATGCTTATCGGGCACCTTGGGTGGAGAACAAGAACTTATCAGGCATGTTTACCTTTAGCAGTAATAACAGTGATAGGTGGATTTCCCATCTGCCTTATGCTTTAGTCTTACTTCTCAAGGGATTCAGAATTTAGGGTAGGGGGAAGAGGGGTGTTATCAACTGAATCCTTTCAAATCCCCTATGCCACCTAGACAACCATCTAAGACAGTAATGACACGTTTGAAAAGGTCGTAAGTTCAGACTCTTGCCTCTTCCCTAACACATCCCAGGGCTACTTTCTAGCTTCATCTCATCCTTTGAGCAATGCTGTCCTATCCAAAACTCAGCCCAAAGCCCAGACCTAAATCTGATTCTTTCACTAGGTCTCTTGGAGGTTCCTCATCTGTACACTCCTACTCCTAAATGAAAAAAAAGAAAGACATCACTTATCCCCTTTTCCCTCTTTGATATGCCTTGTATTGGGCAAAATCTAATTTTACTTTATCCATTATCTCTGCCAAGAGGCACGATCTTCAAATCCTGCTGTTCCCATTTTACCTTCCCAGTGGCTATCTTCCTATTCAGAAGGAAGCCAGAACTTAAAAGACCTTGTTAGATCTTAATAAGGTTTCCAAATTTCTCTGCCTTTGTTTCTTACCTTCTCCTGGATCCCTTCGTCATCACCAGCAAAATACAAAATAGGGACATTAAGCTCAGAGGCAGCTACCCATTGAAGGACGGCTTGGAGTTGCTTGTTCTGAACTGTATCTATCAGGTTGTGATTGCTGACAATCACCTTGGGTGGTGCACACCCTTCAGGGGACTGTCCTGACAAACCTCTCAGTTCGTTATGGATAGCTTGATAGGCATTCTGCAGAAGAGCTTCTGCTGTCCCTGTGCCCTTGACTGGCAAACACTCATATAAACTATCTGGGAAGGCTGACGTTAGCCTGCTGGCATCTCCAGACTTGTCATCTTCCAGCTCTGTCAAAGAAGTATCACAGGACTTGGCAATGATGAGACACAGCTTCATCACTGAGTCCATCAGATGTTCTACCATCTGCCCATTCATGTTGCCATCTAGCTGGTTGATAACCATCTTGGTCAGCCCAGAAAAGGCACCAGGGGTCTCATCATCTTCACATGGTTTGGGGGGTGAAGAGGTTAAAGGTCTTTCACACAAGTTTATATCTTCCTTAACTTGTTGTTCTGGCACCTTGGGTTCAGAGCAATGGCCACGCTTGAAAATGGTCTCACTAAGTAGGTTCCGGATGAAATTGAAGAAAACACTCATTAGGTCCTTCTTTTCTGCTTGTTCTTGGTCATCAACATTGTGAGCAGTCTTCAGGCAGGATTCATCAGGAACTACAGAAGATTTGTTGGCAGGAAAGTTGGGGGTTCCAGCAGCTTCAAGGAAGCTCTGTGCATCCCTTCTTCCTCCCTGGGCCAGATGATATTGAATCAGAAGTAGGGCAGATATTATCAGGTCCTTGGCCCAGGAGTCTGAATTAAACATAAAATTCTCAGGTTTCTCTGGGGGACATGGAGGAGGGCTGAGGTTGCAAATATCTTCAGGGTACTCAAAGGAAATGTCTGGTGCAGGCTTACACTGTGCGTCGGGAGCTTCAAAGGCTGCATGCTGGAAACCTGGAGATTTACATTCTTTCTGATTTTGATGCCACAAAGTCAGCCCCTCTTTGATAATGTGTTCACCCAGAGTTTCGGCGCAAGTCTTCTCCTTCTCTGATTTGGCTTCAGAATACATTTTTTCTCTCAATTTAGCTTCAGATCTCATGGCAAAGTTCACATTTCGTTTTTTAGGATCACCCATTCCTTTCATGGAAAGGAAGGAATAACTCTCAGCCTTGTCTTTGGCTTTCCTGATATGCTCAGAGACTTTCTCCGCAAACATCACATTGTACAGCTTCCCTAGCATGGCATCCATGATATCTGAGGCCTTTTGGCTTCCATGAGAGAAGACAGTTCTTTTTACAGCCGAGACAAAGTCTGTGTTGGTCATGAGGGTCCCTGTGACATTGTGGAGGTTCCTCATGAAGGAGTCGATGAGATCTGAGACCACCTCTTTTGCATGCTTAAGCAGAACCTTCTTCAACAGGACGGTGGCGATGGTTGTGTCTTTCACTTGGATCTTCAGTGTCTTCATGATGGAGACCATCATATCAGATACCACACTGTTAGCATAGGTCATGATCCCTTCACTAACTGAAGCTGTAAAGTCATCAGCCCTTTCCCGCCCTCGAAACATCTTTCTCTCCCAAGGAAAGAACCTTCCACCCTCTTGGGCATAATCCGCATTACGAGATTCAAACACTTCCTTATAGAAGAAAGACTTCTTAGAATCAGGCTTGTCCTCTGGACCTGGTCTTTCCTGGGTGTTCTCCTTCATCTTCAAAGTGGACTTGTATTTCAAATGTGGGGGCTTTTGTGATGATTCTGATGCTCTGTCTCCAGAGCCGGGAGCCTTGTCTGCGGCAGCATTCCTGGCACATGCAGAGACGGTCTCATTCACCAGCTCTGATGCTACCTTACTGAGACTTTTGGTGGGGATGGGTTCATTCCCTATGTACAATGACTGATGGACACATTTGTTTTCAGAGCCATCGATTGTCTCATTGATCTCTTTGCGGGCCATGGCTATGACTAGATTCGTGAGGCGGTTAGCATAGAAGGAAACTTCATCTACTGAACTCTCATTGCCAAGCTGGGCCCTGGGGCCCTGGAAAGGATTCTCTTTGTGAGTGATCTCCAAATGCAATCTCCCTGGAGGGCCCTTGGTGGTGGTGTTGTAATAGTCTACAGAGAAACCTTTGTGTGGGTCTCCTGAGTTGGACATTTCCCCGCCAAACGTTGATTCTCCGGGCTTGAACCTAACATCTTGGAACTCTGCTGTACTTTTCTCCAGGTCTCTGCGGAGCCAGCTGAGCACTCTGACAGGATCCGTGGAGGTGTCCTTGAAAATAGACAAGCATTCATCTGACTATAACAAAGTAAAGACATGGGATATTCAAGACAACCTCAAAGTTCAGTTACAAAAGTCGTCAGCCCTCTCAAGCCTGCTCCATCTTGGCAATAAAAGTAACTATTTATCGAGTACTCACTGTGTATCAAGCATTGTTCCAAGTATTTTAAGACTATTATCTATCTCATTTACTTATTCTCATGATAAGCCTGAGGTTTAACTCTCTTATTATCCTCATTTTACGGAGGAGGAAATTGAAGAACTGAGAGGTTAAGTTTATGACTTATTTGAAATAATATAGCTAACCATTGATGGAGCAGAAATTTCAGTCCTGGCAGTCTGACTCCACAGCCTGTGCTCTCAGCTAGTACATTATATTGCTTCTAATGACATATATCTTTAAGATCTGACAGTCTGCTAAGGATAATGGCCTCCAGCTTCATCCATGTCCCTGGAAAGGACATGATATCATTCTTTCTTATGACTGCATAGTATTCCATGGTGTATATGTACCACATTTTCTTTATCCAATCTATCATTGATGGGCATTTAGGTTGATTTATGAACAGAAAACCAAATATCACATGTTCTTACTTAAAAGTGGGAGATAAATAATGAGAACCCATGAACACATAGAGGGGAACAACACACACTGGGGCCTTTTGGAGAGTGGAAGTAGGCAAAAGGGAGAGGACAAGGAAAAGTGACTAATGGGTACTAGGCTTAATACCTGGATGATTAAATAATCTGGACAACAATCCCCAGTAACACAAGTTTACCTATGTAACAAACCTGCACATGTACCCCTGAACTTAAAATAAAGTGGAAAAAAAGATCTGATAGTCACCAGCTACATAGAAGAGTTAGCATTTGAACTGAATCAGATTTTTTCTTATTTTAATATTGTTATTTTCTATGATTTACCTATTTTTATTTAGATCGTATTATAAGTATAGTTTCCAAAAAATGAGAAAATTCAGGGAAAATGGTGCATAATTAATCACTTGGCCAGGCTGCACAAACACTATCTAGATATGTTAAATGGCTTCCAATGGACTGATATCATTTAAGTTAACTTTCTGATCTATAATTCAGTAGTTAATATGTATGGGCAATTTATTAGTTTTGTGTGAATACAGCTTCTTTGATGGTCAGTAGCTGCAGTAAGCACATGGACATATTTATATGTTTATAAATTGTACAATCTGCATATGGGAAAAACTCTTAAATATAGGATATAATATTATATATGAAAGTGTCTTATTTATTATCAAATGCAAAGGATCGCTGTAATTATCGGAGTTCATATGTCTATCTGGGAATGACCACAAATATTGCCCATCTTTAAAGAACAATTTGGTATTTTTATTACCAAGTGTCAAATAGTTACTAGTTATTATTTGTGAAGTACTCATAAGGTTTGCCAGGCACTGTGCTAAATGTTTTACATGCGCTATTTTGTTTAATCCTCATGTTCACCTGGTGAGATAGGTTTTACTCTTCCAGTTTCACAGGTAAGAAAGCAGAGGTTTAGAGAAGTAAATAGTTTGCCAGGGATCTCACAGCTAGTCCATGGTGGGGTTTCATATGCAAATCCAATTCTGACTCTAAAATCTGGGCTCTCCACTCTTACAATATCCTGCTGTGTTTTGATTACTTGGAAAGAAAAGAAAAGCTAGTTGTGCTAGTTGTCTGCAGAACTGGTTTAAGTGGCTTGTTCCCATGTGGAGTTAAGGGCCATTGTGCTTGGTTCAAAATCCTCCCAAATGGTTCTTCTAATAATAGCTATATATGGTGTATTTTGTGCTTTAGTGGAAAACTACACATCATCTATAGCAGGCGTCCCCAAACTTTTTACACAGGGGGCCAGTTCACTGTCCCTCAGACCGTTGGAGGGCCGCCACATACTGTGCTCCTCTCACTGACCACCAATGAAAGAGGTGCCCCTTTCTGAAGTGTGGCGGGGGGCCGGATAAATGGCCTCAGGGGGCCGCACTGGGAGACGCCTGATCTATAGCATACCCCTCCACATTATCTGATTCTCCTTCTCTTGGAGCTATTTTACAACTCTGTTAACTGTAGATAACTGACAGCAATGCAATATAATTCTTGTCTAGACACTGATAACGGGAGGGTCGACTGACTGCCTCTCCCACTGTAGAGAAGGTCAGCTCTGCCTTCATGGGCACATTCACTTCAGTATTTCCAAGCTACATGTGTCTTTTGAACCTCATCTATTCCTTGTTAATGAGTTAAATAGAATCTTTAACACACGTTCATTTTTATATATGTATGAGAGTCATTATTTTACCCTTCTTTGAAAATTATCTTTTAATGGTTTTGGAAGTCTTCCACCAAGATGCCCAATAGATCCACCTAATGGAGATAAATGTCCTCATGAGACAAGTGCACCAGGTGTGTCTTTTCTCAGCCCTCAGAGTGGCAATAGAAGTTTGCAGACATTCTGTTTTTCTAGTTTTTTTTTTTTTTTTTGAGATGGAGTCTTGCTCTTGTTGCCCAGGCTGGAGTGCAATGGCACAACCTTGGCTCACTGCAACCTCCGCCTCCTGGGTTCAAGTGATTCTCCTGCCTCAGGCTCCTGAGTAGCTGGGATTACAGGGGTGCACCACCATGCCCAGCTAATTTTTGTATTTTTAATAGAGACCGGGTCTCGCCATGTTGGTCAAGCTGTTCTCGAACTCCTGACCTCGTGATTCACCTGCATCATCCTTCCAAAGCGCCGGGATTAAAAGCGTGAGCCACCATGCCTGGCCTGTTTTTCTAGTTTTAATTTTCCACTCCACTGATTTTCATTTTGGTTTTCACTTTGGTTTGTTTATCGTCAATTGGTGGCAATGATGATTGGGAATTTGATTTTATTGTCTGACCATTGGTAATTCCTTTTATGGATTAATGATTTATAGAGATCTATCTTCTGCCGGATGTGAAGCAACAGAAAATTTGTTTTGACAGTATTTTTTTGTCTATCTTAAGCTCAAATAAATTAAGGTGTTTGTGCTCACTTGGAAGGAGAAGAGCTCTCTGATATTTGGACAGGTGAGTTTTATGTTTCTGGTTGATTTTTGACACAAAGTTTGGCCGAAGGTTTACAATTGAAGCCATAAACTGTCTATCAGTGACTGCATCACTACACGTCTGTAATTCAGAAAATGGTAGGTGTAAGCAGCAATGTCTTCCTCCAGATAGTATCAATACATAATATTACAAAGTCTCCTAAATTAAAGGATGTTTGTTTGGATCAGAGCGTGCACATGCATACACACGCAAACAAACACACACTTAGGTAAATTCAATATTTTTGATATCCCTAGAAAATAAGGAAATTAAGCTTCTAATATTTAAAATATTCAAAGGGAATGCTAAAAGAAAAGAAAGAAAAGGAAAAAAAGGTGTTTTTATGCAACCTAACTCAGAAACATTTTAGAAACCCAAATTGACATAAATTAGGTAAATCTTTGGCAAACAGTACTAGTTTAATAATTTTGATTTAATAAAAACAGTTATATCTTTTCTTACTTATCAATGTTAAGTATAATACAATAGTATGCTTTTATTTTACTTTGATATGCTTTTCATAAACTTACACAGGTTATACAGATCAAAAAAATCCAGCATTACTTCTACTTAATGTTTAAGGATTATGAAAAATGTAAATTTGTGTTTAACCAAGTTCAATAATCATTCTGACATCTTTATTTCAACAGCTATTATGTTTTATATGTCAGCCTAATGATAAGTTTCCAACATCTTTGTATAACTTAAAATACTGGAGTGGTATTACATTGAGGTAATGCATGTTTACTGGATATGTAGATCATTTCTAAATAAGATGGAGCACAGAGACATTGATGGCTAAGCATAAAGTTTATATGCTTTTGCTTATTATTTTTATCACTTATAGAGAGGCTGTATCTTTAAGTCTGTTAATGAGTGTGTTCATCTTCTCCACTTAGAGAGGTGGTATAAAGGGTGTTTGTGGCTGTAGCAAGTCTCCTTCAGGTGTATTCATGAGTTCTACTCATCTGAATTTCAGCTGGTGTGTGACGTTCTCTATTATATACCCCTCACCCCTAGTTGTTTGTGTTTGTGTGTATGTGTGTGTGTGTGTGTGTGAGAAACAGAAAGAATAGAAAGTACTTTGGTTAACAGTTATGATTAGTATTAGTGGTTGAGACTGTAATTAGGAACAATAGTTTTGGAGAAGTCTAACTGTATACCTGCTTGCTTTCTTAGGGACTGCAGGTGAAACCTGGTAAAGAGAGTTTCTTAGGCTTGACTTCCTAATCTCAGCACAGTAAACAAAAGAGGCCTTTAAAAGTTCAATCTGAGATTCCTTAGGAAGACTTCTGATAAAGCAAACTTAAGAAAGCCTATCCAGTTGCTGCACCTATGTAAACAATCAGGCCAAATCTGATGAGACTAGCCTCATTTTGTGTTCAAGAATAGTCTTACTTTGAGATTATTTTAATTTTTATCAAATTGGGGGAGACTACAGGGAAAAAATTGTGCTTAAATAGAAAACTAAACATTGTCTATAGCCTATGGACTAAGCATTGTCTTCAATCTTCCACATGATCTGATTCTTAGTTTGTGAGAGCTGTTTTACAATTCTGCAAGCTGTAGATAATTGATAGCAATGCAAAATAACTCTTGGCTACAGATGTGAAAATTCTATCTAGTGGAAATTTGGTTGATTTCTCTTCCCCACTGGGAAGCAGGCCAGTTTTGCTTTTATTTGCACATTTATTTAAATATTCCTGATATATAAGTGTATCTTTTAAAAATTCTCCTTTGAATTGGTCGTAATACCTACCAATTTCCTCACCTGTGAAGTAGATACAATCTTTCGTATATATTTATTTTTCTACTTGTATCAAAGTGATACTTTTACTTCTCTTTTTGGAAAATGATAATGCATTACTACCTAGTCATTTACAAATAAACATAATAACCTGCAAATAGGTGTGTTT